CACATGGCAGAGTCTGGTAAACTCCCTGTGGCGTATCCAATATGCCAAATACCAGTAACAATGATGGATCTCATTCTCCTAACCCTGAAAGAGCCTTGAATATGGCACTTTTTAAAAAATCTCAGGGCTAGGACAAAGGAGATGTTACTGGGGCCTGCTCGAGGCAATCGACGAACAACAGGATGATCGTGATCATGATATAGCTGAGTGGTTCTCCATCGTGTCGATATCCCACAATTTCTTTACCCAATCATCTGTTCCCGAGTATTCGGGCTGTTTCCAAGCTCAAAGCCAGTCTAGCTGGCAGAAATCTCTTTTCCTCACCTGAGGTGACTTCTGTTCCTCTAAGGAAGGTCTCATCCATATTGTAGACTATAATTTCCCTAATGCAAAGTTGATGGATTTAAATGCTGGTCTCATCTAAAATATGCCTTCTAAATACATACCTGGAGATTGTGGCCGAGCCAAGTTAAAAAATTTACCATCACCAAAAAAAAAAAAAATCACAAAGATTTGATCTCGTTTCCTTTTAGAATCTTTATAGCTTCCATTCGGACATTTAGAGCCCCAAACTATATTGAATTGATATTGATTTGAGGTACAAGGTAACAATTCTGGTCCATTTATTTGCTAAATGGATGTTCAACTGTTCCAGTTACCTTGGTTTCAAAGTCTGTTCTTTACTTGCTGCACTGTTTTGTCAAAAACCAAGTGACGAGGCTGGAGCGATAGCACAGCGGGTAGGGCATTTGCCTTGCAAGCGGCTGTCCCAGGTTCCATTCCCAACATCCCATATGGTTCCCCAAGCACCTCCAGGAGTAATTCCTGAGTGCATGAGCCAGAAGTAACCCTGTGCATCGCTGGGTGTGACCCCCCTTCAAAAAAAAAAAAAGAACCAAGTAACCCATATGTGTATAGGTTTACTTCTGGTGTCCCAATTTGTGCTGCTAAAAAAAATACTGAGATAACGCTGATTTACTAGAACATAAGATGCTCAGAGGTTATTCCTGGCTCTGTATTCAAAAATCACTCTTGACAGGGGACCATATAGGATGCTGGGAACTGAAATTGGGTCTGCCCCGCAAGCATCCTTCCAGCTGTACTGTCTCTCCAGCCCTACAGTACAAATATGTCTTAAGGGTACAATGTTGCCATATCATATCCACCACCAAACTGCTAATATTCCTCCCAGCATCAAGTCTACAGAACTTTTCCCTTCCTCTCTCATGTGGGCAACATCAGTTCTGCCCAGAGTCTAGGGATCTGTTTTTGTTAGATATTGCCCACTTCAATCCCAACTGAAACAAACAAACAAAAAAGGGTGGCTCAAGAAGGGATATCTCCAGGAAAAGAATAAATATGTGACAGGTGTGGGGCAATCATGGGAAATTATATTAAGAACTGTTTTACTGGAGGTTTGTGGAGGAGATAAAACATTTATAATTTGGAATAAAAATAAACAAATGAAAAGTCAAGGCAATTATCAACCCTCAGAAAAACAGCAAGTTGTACAAAAATGGAAATGTAATCATAGTCCAATTCTTGGCTCACCAATAAAGAGCATTTACATAATCACACTAATTATGGATCTGCTCAAGAACTGTGCTATAACAAAAAGAATGTGGAGAGCAATAGATTATTTCCAAATAATTGTATGCCTAAAACAGATTGCTCACTCCCACGTCCTCTTTCTTAGGCTGGCATTCAAGCTGGGCATCCAATACAGTGGTCAATGGCCATAAATAACATTTAATGAATTAAATTTCAATTTTAAAATTTAGTTCATCAATCACACTTGTCACATTTCAAGTACTCAAGAGCCACATGCAGCTACTCGATTAGCACAGATATAGACCATCTGGACCAGGGAGAGCTTAAGGCGGAGGCCCTTGGCTCAATGCCTGGCACAGCCTGGTCCCCTGAGCACAGTTGGGTGGTCCAGACTGAAGTAAGGGAAGGGGCACCAGGGATGTCTCTTCAAGGAGACTCAGGTGAAAGATCTAACATATTCGAGCATTCAGAGAGAAAATTAGCACAACTCAGGAAGTATTTGTAAGATGACTAGAGAGACAGAAACAGAGAAAGCGGGGGAGGGACGGGGGTAAGGAGGGAAAATTGCCTGCCATAGAGGCAGGCTGGACAAAGTGGGGAAAGGGCACAGGAGGATGGCAGGAGGGAACCTGGGGACATTGGTGATGGGAAATGTACACTGGTGAAGGGCTGGGTATTGGAACTTTGTATAACTGAAACTCCATCATGAACAACTTTGTAACTGTGAAAAAAAAAGATAATTGAACTTAAATAGAAAGAAAGAAAGAAAGATGGCTAGTGATAGACAAAATCAAGCAAACAAATTCAGGGCAATCATTAACAACAGCACACAATTATCACCAAAAAAAGGAAACACAATAATAATATGTTTTTATTACATAAAACCAAAAAAAGGAAACATAATAATAATATGTTTTACTACACAGCATATTCATGAATGTCATAAATGGGCTAAAATAAGGTAAGAGGGCCAGGGATGACAACCAGCTTGCTGGAGTAAAGGTGGAGGGAGTGGTCCTTCAGGCCTAGTAAAAATTAATAAATAAATAGTGTAAGGATTGAATGCCAATGTCACCTAAGTTATGATTGTACACTTGTGAAGACGGTAGAAATGCATGTGTGAGAAAAGGAGAGGAAAAGGCTAGATCTTCAGCCCTCAGTTTTCATAGAGTTAAGCCAACAATCAATGCCTTAAATGGAAAAATGAAAAATGAAAAGTTTGAGCAACATCATAATGTCATTTACAGATGTAAATACAAAAAGGATACATCAAGAGAGCTGAAAGTCCTTTCTTATGGAGAAAGAAGAGGCAAGCAGTAAAAAACATGACACTATGTGCGTTTACAGTGTAGATATTAATATCAGGGCCCATAGTGATTGTACAGTGGGTACGGCATTTGCCATACATGCACCAACCTGGATTCAGTCCCCAGCAGCCCATGTGGTCCTCGGAGTCTGCCAGGAATGAGCCCTAAGTGCAGAGTAAGCCCTGAGCACTGCTGGGTGTGGCCCCAAAACAAACAAATATCAAAATATTTTTAAAATTAACAAATAGCATACAGATTTTAATCAGAAATCCAGAGTTAGAGAGAGAAAGAGAGGGAGGGGAGAGAGAGACAGAGAGAGAGACAGAGAGAGGAGAGAGAGAGAGAGAGAGAGAGAGAGAGAGAGAGAGAGAGAGAGTTCAATGGGCCCAGCACAACTTTGCATACAGAAGACCTAGTTTTGATCTCCAGAATCACATGGTCCCCTGAGCACAGAGTCCTCAGGGTCCCCTGGACTCAAACCCCACTCCCCTCCTCCCCTCCACTGGCCAAAAAAAAAAAAAAGGGAAGGAGGAAAGGGAGGGGGATAGGAAGGAAGGAAGAAAGGGAGGGCGGATAGGAAGGAAGGAAGGGAGGGAGGGAGGGAGGAAGGAAGGAAGGAAGGAAGGAAGGAAGGAAGGAAGGAAGGAAGGAAAATATGAGCTGGCTGACCTTACTTGCAGGAAGTCAGCAATTCAGAGTCTCAAAGCTGTTACCGCACAAGGACACTCCTCTTCCCCACAAAATTCTCGGGCTGGGCCCTGCAGACTGTGAGGATGCAGATATGCCACTTGACAAAACCCAGAGCGACAAAACCCAGAGTGAGTTACTAAACTGGGCTTCAATTTCCTTGTCTCCAAAATGGAGGTGAGAAAGGACACCTCGACGATGACCAAGTGCAGGGAGAGCTCCGTAAGTGTTCACCACCAGTGCCTCAGCGCCACTCTGCCAGGCTTTAACTTACCGCCTGGCTCAGCCCAGCCTGCTCCCTCTGCCTTTTCTTTAGTGCCTTGTCCACAGCACTGGCGTCTGGCCACTATGTTCTCTCACCTACCGGTGTGTTATCTGCCAATGAGGGTAAGCAATGCTCTCAGACAAAAGTGCTCTCAGATGGGCCCAGAAGAGCCCAGGCCCACAGGTGTGCGGCTCAGCTGTCAGCCCGGTGGCCCACAGAGAGGAGCACGATGCCAAGCAGGGTGTGGCGGCTGCCTCATGCCTGAGTTAGTCCACCCCCGCTAGCAGGTGTGTCTCAGGGATCAACACGCAGGTGCTTGGGCCATTTGGGTTTATTTATTTATTTATTTATTTTTGCTTTTGGGGTCACACCTGGCGATGCTCAGGGGTTACTCCTGGCTCTGCACTCAGGAATTACTCCTGGCTGTGCTCAGAGGACCACATGGGATGCTGGGAATCAAACCAGGGTCGACCGCGTGCAAGACAAATGCCCTTCCCACTGTACTATCGCTCCAGCCCCGCCATTAGGGTTTTGTGCCTCCTCCCACCCCTGCCTGCCCCGTTCCATTCAGTGAAAGAAGTAGGTGAGAAAACATCAAACTATAATTTTATTGACTGCCAAGGGCTAATTAACAAGTTTCTCCATTTAAAAGATAGAAATGGAAGCTTTTTTTGTTTTGTTTTTTGGACCACACCTGGCTACGCTCAGGGCTTACTCCTTATCTTGAGGCTCATTCCTGGGCCAGCTCGGGGAACCATAGGAGATGCTGGGGATCAAACCCCAGTCAGCTGGGTGCTAGGCAAGTGCCCAAGCCACTCAACTATTTCCCTGGCCCCAAAATGAAAGGACTTTTTTGGTTTGGCTTTGTTAACCCTGTGTTGATCAGGGTTAACTGGATCTGCACTCAGGAATTACTTCTGGCCGTGTTCAGAGGACCATATGGAATGCTGGGAATGGAACCCGGGTGAGCATCCTACTCATGATATTATCTCTTCAGGCCCCTCTCCGGGCCCCCATGAAAGGATTTTTAACCCTCCTTCCTTCTGTCCAAACCTCCATTACTGTAGCGGGAGAGGAAGACTGTTGTTTGAAAGCTACCACCCGAGCACAACATTTTTGTGGACAAGGAAGAAGAGATAGCCTTTCTCCCCCTCCCGGGAACAGCTCCAGCGTTTCCCCTCTCTCGTTACCTTGGTAACCGCTACCTTGGCGCCCTTGTTGATGAGCTGAACCACATTCTCTGCTTGGCCTTTGTACGCAGCTATGAGAAGGCGTTCTGAAAGCGCAGCGACCTCATCCTGCTGGCTCATGAATTAGGAGGTTTGTGAGAAAGCAGCGGACGGTCCCAGCTGCTTAGGATGCCACTGGCCAGCGCGGCACCCGCTGGACAGCTGCTCTGGGTCATCGGAAGAGGCCCGACGGCTCTGCCATCTTCCAGACCTAAGGGATGCAAGACAAAGCTGCAGTCAGCGCTGCCCCAAACACTGGACAGACCACACCTCTCCCCGCTGTATTAGGACATCTTGCAGCTGCTCCTGTGGAGAGACAGAGAGAGACATGCTCGGAGCAGCTGAGCCCCCAGACTGGCAGGGGGAATGCAGCCACCTGTGCCCGCTCCCCTGCCTCTCCCCTCCTCGGAGACATGCGGGTGGGGGGTAGGGGGAGTCAGAGCTGGGCGGTCTGCACAGAAGGCCGGGTCCCTAAACATCGCCCGGACTCCAGACCTGCTGTGTCCAGGTCTCAGCCCTGCTCCCTGGAATCTCCCAGCCAGCCAGGGGGGTGCAGCTCAGACCTTGCTGAGTGGTGTTTCTCCAGCCTCTACTGCAGCTCTTGATTCTGGAAGAGGAGGGCTGGGCCCTTGCTTGGGCTGTCTCTGGACCCCAGGATGCCTCGAGCCACAGATGCTACAAACTCTGATGTGTAGTGGGTGTCTGTGCTTGGGGAGGCTAGAGGATGGCGTCCCCGCTCACCCGCCCAGATCAACGGCTCAGAGTCCCAGTGCAGCAGGGGCTGCGGGGGACGAGGTGGAGAGAACTTCCGGGAACTCTTCTTCCCACCACCCAAGGAACAGAACTCTGAAGAGTCATCCTTCCCGGGAGTGGAGGGCACTCTCGCACCAAACCCAAGGCTCCAGTGACTGTTTCAAAGGTGAAGCAGTCTCCAGCAGGAAGAAGGAATATTTATGGGTTGGCTCTGCTCCTGCAAAGAGGTGAGCATCTCTGTGTTCCAAAGGTACTTCTTCAATATACACAATGGAAGGAAAAGGTAAGCCACAGGGACACCATTCTTCATTCCAGACCCTAAGCCACATTAAAAATAAATTTAAAAAAATAAATAAATAAAATTAAAAATTGGGGCTGGAGCAATAGCACAGTGGGTAGGGCGTTTGCCTTGCATGCGGCTGGCCCGGGTTTTATTGCCAGCATCTCATATGGTAATTCCTGAGTGCAGGCCCAGGAGTAACTGCTGTGCACCACCGGGTGTGACCCAAAAAGCAAAAAAAAAATTTAAATTTAAATTAAAAAAAAATCACAACTAATAGTGCTCAGGACTTACTCCTGGCTCTGTGCTCAGGGTTCACTCCTGGAGGGCTTCAGAGACCATGCAGGATGCCAGGGATCAAACTTGGGTTGGCAGTGTGCAAGGCCAGAACCCTACCCACTGTACTACCTCTTCAGCCCTGCACATTCTAATTTTGAAAGTCTAGAAAAGACACTTTTGGAACCAAAGAGATAGTGCAGTGGATAAGGCACTTGCCATGCAAGCCTCTGTGCCAGGTTGATTCCTGCACCCCAAATATTTCCCTACCTCATCCCCATTAGGAGTGATCTCTGAGCACAGCTGGGTGGGCTCCCAAAGCAAAGACTCCAATGTCCCCAAGAGAAAAGATACTTTTACAGTCGCTTCCAGACAAATCCAGTGCTCTTATCAATCCATAAAGATTCAGGATGGCTCAAGGGGCTGGAGCACAGGCTTTGCACACATTCAACCCCAGCACTGCGTGGTCCCCTCAAGAATCACCAGGAATGGCCCTGGAGCACTGTACTGGGAGTTACTGAGTACCTCTGGAGGTATACACTCCCCCACCACAGAAACCCAAATAAAAAAGTGAAGATTAAGGAACAGCAGTCGCTGCCTGGGAAAGGTTCTGATGCGCCAAAGTCTAATTAATGCCCCTGAGCAGGACATTCACCCACACCCAGGGAGCGTTCAACATTCACCTGAAATACACTTAGTGTGTGGTGGGATCAGACGCTGACTTTCTATGTGAAAAGAGAGAATAAATGCACATATCATGACTTTAGAAAGGCCATTTCACCCACCTCCTCACCCCAAGCTGTAAATGTTCTGATTTTCCCCGTTGCTGTCCATAGTGCAGGTGTGGCACCTCGCGGGAGGAAAGAGAAGGAGGGGGAGGAGAGAAGGAATGGCTCAGCTGGGGGGACAGAGGGGGGGGGTAGCCAACCCTCACACATCAGGCTCAGAGAACCCTCAGTCAGAGTCTTCAAAGCAGAGGTCTCCTCCATGAGCCCCGGCCAGAAATCCCTGCTGAGAAAAGTGAGCCAAGGAAAGAATCTACCTAGCTGAGCCTTGAAACAGGGAGCAATGGAGCAGGAAATGCTTTTGGAAATTCCCAGGTGGCTGTGAAAGACTGAGATGGGGCTTTCTGCTCCCCAGACAGCCTGGCTGTTTGGAACTGGCTTGTTTTATAAACACAGGCTCCACTGACTCTTTATTCTGCTAATCTACAGTACCTTCACACCAATTATACTCCCCTTCGGCTCTTGACTCCAGTCGTGCCCAAGGCTGCAGGCCCAGGGGCAGCAAAACAGAGTATTAGCCTGGCTTCCTCCAGGATCTTCCTCCTCAACCAACCACATTCCTCTTCATCCGTACATTAGCCTGGTGTATTCACCCAACCCTGCAAAACACAAACACACACACACACACACACACACACACACACACGTTCTCAAATCTTTCCTGCATGGGCTTTAGATGATCTCAAGTTTAAGTCCTGGTGTACTCACCTAACCCTGCAACACACACACACACACACACACACACACACACACACACACATACATTTTCAAACCTTTCCTGCATGGGCTTTAGACGATCTCAAGTTTAAGTCCTGGTGTACTCACTTAGCCCTGCAAAACACACATACACACACACATACACACACCATTCCCAACACACACAAACAGCATTCTCAGCACATGCACCAACACAGACATGCATTCATATACACATATACACACCCCATTCCCAGTAACGCATACAGAGAGACATGCACAGAGATACACAACATTTCCAGCACACACACACACACACATCACACACATACACACCATTCTCAGACCTTTCTGCATGGGCTTTAGATGATCTCAAGTTTAAGTTCGGTCCTCATGAATAGCTGTCACACTCACAGTTTTACCTCCTCTAGTTCCAGAGCTGCTGGGAGGCCAGCAAGCGCCTGCGGCAGCCTCAACACAGCCCAACAGCTGAGGCCACACCAGCAGTTTTATCTGCCTCCCCAGCAACAGATTCCTGAGTCACCAGGCTGTGGAACCCTGACAGCCACTGCCCTCCCTTCCTCGTGACCAGCCAGTAAACTGTCTCTTGTCTTCCCACCCTTGTGTCCATGCAGTAAACTCAGCCTCTCGGACCAGGGACCCCAAGTCAACTTTCACCAAGGCTGTGAGGGAGGGAGACAGCCTTATTTACATAACTGCCTCCACAAGCCCAACACACATCATTAATCCCTTTTGTTCTGAGAGGAAGATGTTATAGTTGTGGGATATGAGAGTGGTCAAGCTGCAATGCTGTTCCTTTGCAAGCTTTTGGCCACAGCTACTTAGGATGTCATGTTCCCAGCCATCCGGCTCTAAGGACAATGCGCGGCTGGCCTGAGGCAGAGGGCGGCCTGCAGGAGAAGCAGCTCACAGGATTGAGGACGCTGTCTCTTCAGAGTGACAGAGAAAACTGCTTGCAGGGCTGGACTGAGAGTACAGAGAATAAGGCGTTTGCCTTGCGTGTGGCCAACCTGGGTTTGATCCCCAGCACCCCGGCTGGCCCCCTTTTGAACCACCAGGAGTAAGTACAGAGCTAGGAGTAAAGTCTGAACACTGCAGGGTGTGACCCAAACCCAAAACAATCACACAAACAGCACCCGAAAGGAGAGAGAGAACAAAAGGGAGTGCCCTGCCACAGAGCCAGGGTGGGATGGGGGGATGGGGGGATGGGGGATGGGAAGGATACTGGGATTAGTGGTGATGGAGAATGGGCACTGGTGGAGGGATGGGTACTCGGATCATTGTATAACTGAAACCCAAGCAAAATTTGTAAGTCTACAACTGTACTTCACGGTGTTTCACTGTTAAAAATTAAAAAAAAAAAAACCTGCAAGATCCACACCCGAGCCCCAGCTTCCTCTTGTACCACCTGGAGTCATCTTTGAGTGCAGAGCTAGGAATAAGGCCTGAGCACTACAGGGTGTGACCAACCTCACAAACAAACAAACAAAAACTGCTTGCAAAATTTGTCCCAGAATCCCAGCTGATTTTTTCCTGTTCCTTGTCTACGGCTAGCACCAGGCCCAAGGATGCCTAGGCATCTCTGTGAATTCTCCATTCTGAGCCACTTTGAGCTTCTTAGCTAGGGAAATTCAGCTGTGGCTGAACTCACAGGGCAGGAGGGAAGGGAGCAGAAAGACTCTGTGCTTCCTTTATGTTGCTTCCCAGACCACCTTCCCTTGGGCGGGGGCGCAAGGTCAGCCTGGCCTTTCCCCCTCCTGTCTGATATACTTGCATTCTTATCTTCCATCCAGAGCAAGAATCCTCTTCCCTTTGGGTAGGGGGTACTGAACTTCTCCCCTGATGCTTCTGATCTGACAAATCAGGCCAGGCAGAGGGGGACAGCAGAGAGCTAGGAGGACGGCTGGAACGTGCCCCCGGTCCCCAATGGATATGGGGGGAAGGGGAGATGGTGAAGAGTCCTCAATCTGATTGAAACTTCACTTGCAACCTGTTGGGGACCCAGTTCCTCATTAAATCCAAGCCTCCTCTTGCAAGCAGACCCCCTCCCCAGTGCTGACAGTGAGGAATGTCTTGGGCCCAAGCCTAACAATCAAGCGTCTTTGTCACAAGGCTCACTTCCACAGCACTCCGGAGAATTTACATGCAAACATTGCTGCCAGTTCTCAAAGCAGAAAAGAAGCAAATGCACGCTCAGAAAGCAGCAATGAGAACCCTGGGTCCAGAAAGAGATTCAGCCCCTTCAGTGTACCCACTGTTCTATATCTCATCACAAATATCTGTCATTCACCTAGCCGCTCGGTCTCTTGGAGGCTGGCTATTTTATTATTTTATTTTATTTATAGACCAAGGTCTATAAAATTTGCTTTAGCTGTTTGCTCTCGGATATTTCACACAATT